TTCGTGGGGATGTTACGTGTTCTTGAAATAATTGCTGTACAAACTAATATCATTTTATGTAACAGATGTATATATATATACATAGTATCATATGTATATATATATATATATCATTTTCTGCGTGCAAGGATATGATTCTTTCTGAAAGTTTGTGAGTGAGTTTTATTCGTTCTTTAGCTGCTACGGTTGAACAGAGGATTATTTTTTAATGATGATGGTTAACCGCTGAATTATCTTATTCATTCATTAATTCGTAACGGGAAAGAGCAAAAACCGCGGAAAAAAAGACAGATTGGTTCAATAAATCATGCGATTAGCAGCGGTTTAGGGTCTACGGCGTAGCGGCTCGTAGTCTACTCATGAATCAGATTCATCTGCCGGTATAAGCTAATTTTGCATTTATTTTCTGTTATTTGAAACAGAAGAATATCTTTTATATTGATTTCTTGTGAATTTTATACATATTAAATGAAACTAGTTTAAGGGTTTTATCGCGTTTTAATTTTGATTTTTAATTACCGACGACGCGACGTTTCAAATCCTTTCCAGCGTTAATGGTGAACATATTCGGGAATAAAAATCAAATTTTATAAATATCTTTCATCTTATGTTTCATGTATATTCTATGTATTAATCACGATTTTCTTTTATTTGTTACCTTTTTATAACTTTTTTTTTTATTCTTATTTTTGCACTAACCACTATAGGGCAGATAACGAATGCATCAGATGTCCGAATGTTTGCGCGGACGGCGATAAAAATGCTATGGACTATGACTCCGGGCGTCACATCCGGTGGCGATGAAAAATGGCGTCGGCTGCATTTCCGCCGTGCACGTGGCTGCTCACTGATAATGGGCTTTGCCTTGCGTTTTATGGAGCTTCGGATTTCCATTGTTTCTCGCTTAATGTGGTTTTCATGTATGTTTGGGTGCCTATTAGTTATTTTTATGGTTTTAAAGAATAATTCGAATTTTTTCTGCGGCCATTGAAAGCGCTTAATTAATTTTTGGACTTTTAACATGACATATTATTTTACGAGCTTGGCCGACGTTGTGATGTCTTTACCTGTTGGTACGAAAATTAATTTCCTGTTTTCACAGATTAAAAAAGTTTCACGATGACTGACATTTACGCACAACTTTACTTCGGCTATTAAATGAGCTGCGCTTTTCACGAGTTAGGAACATATCTCAAAATCAGTTCTGAACCGCAACATCATTTTGATCAGAGAACGTGTCTATGGTAACGGCGCATACGACCGGTACGAAAGCCCCTCATTCTGTATGCGGGTCCCAGCGGAACCATCCCCCGTGAGTTCGTTTAAATTTTAAACGGTGCGGACTGCGACGCCAATCGAGGGTTCCGTATAAATTAACGCACGTCCGCAACAGACCGGACGTTATACTTTTTTGATGAGGGCCCCGGCTGCGGCTGGCAGGGCTGCGGGGCCATCAATCACGTAAAAGGCCCCGTTGTTTCCGTCCGGTTCGCTGGTACTGGACTTACCTCACGTCGAGTCGAAGTCCAGTCGATTAATTAGAACTGTACCGATATCAATACCATGCCATGTGCTAGCTAACATTTAACAAAAGCTCAGTATCCACTTAATTTTGAGCTGTATCATAGCTAAGCATTGGTTGATGTAAGCACGTATAGACATTAATGCCAGTTTTCTGGTTTAAACTTTTAATGCGTTTTTTTTTGTAAAAATATGGGACACTTATAGACATCTTGAGCATTGCTTTAACCATAAAAGATTTTACATTGTGATTTGTCTTGTAAGTTTTCTTTCGTATTCCTTTACTTGTAAAAGAGATAATTAAAATGTAGTTTTCTAATACTTAGTATTGTATGATTTTGTATTTTTCTCTGTAATATTATTCATTCAAATGTTGTGCCTACACGTACACGTAAATATTTTGAATATTTATTTCTGTTATGATTAATCTAGCTGCTGCCCGCAACTTCGTCTGCGTATAATAGCATATGTCTTATTCTGATGTATAAGCTATATTATTGTAAATTTTCATTAAAATCTATTCAGTAGTATTTGCGTGAAAGAGTAACAAACATCCATCCATATATACAAACTTTTGCCTTTATAATATTAGTAAGGATGATTAAATGATTAAATTGAGAGACACTTTTCATCAGTAAACCATGATGTTCAATCAGTATTTAAGGGTTACATATCTTCATATTTTATATGTTCCTCGTTCAAATAATTTAATGGCTCACCATGGCACTGAGACAGATATTGAGAACCGAAATCTTTATTTTTAAAGGTTTTTAAAACATCAAACTTAGACATGACTGTGGCTGTTCAAGTATTGCCACCATAAGTTCTCATTACTGCAATAATCACAATTCAACTGCCTCTCGCGTCCATCCAGTCTAACAACCCCGGTCCTACACCGGACAAAGTTACAAATGGCCCGCTGAAACTTATCGCGGATGAGTTACGGTCCACTCCGTAATGAACGCAATTATACTCTCGCCGAGAAAGAGAGCAATGTGGCCGATAAATCGCGAAAGTGAAACCGTGCCGCCGCAAAGTCTCCGTTGCGAACAAAACAACGACGGAAAACGAATCAATGCCCCAATTACGAGCGGAGGACGATGCTTTTTAACGCTTACGGAATAGATCCCAACGAAGCGAATGCTCCGGCTTCTGACCCAGTTTCGTTACGAGAAAACTGGAGATGAGATAATGGAGAAATTCTATCGGTGCGTTTTCTTCGCAACGATTTTCTTGTATTCTTTGTGAGCGTAGATCAACAAAGTTCGATTAAATGTCGATGTTGTATCATGAGAGGTACAACATCGACATTTCATCGAACTTTTACTCTCTACGCTCACGATTAGCGGTAAATTATAACGCTCACCACTTTCTTCTTGGTTTTTTCTTCTTACAAACAAGGAGATTTTAATTATATTTAGTTCTGTAGCTAATAATACTTAGAATAATTCATAGAACATTCTCGATTCGAGTCAAGTCGCGAATAGTCTTACTACTGGACAATACTAAATTTGTCCGGGAAATATATTTTTTTTACTAACAGATAAATTGTTCCGGATCTGTGTGTTTGTTCCCATGGAGGTATGGCGTCAAGTAGGCGATTGGTTATAAAAAATCCTAGCAAGTACCATTAACTCCACGGACACTACCCCTATAGGAGAAAGAAGAAGTAAGGAAATTAATATGAAAAAAATATATTGTTATAATGTGTAATCAATCATTGATGAAAATTCCATTCTGTAGTGAAAACCATTCTCTCACAATTTTGCGAGCGGTTATTACATTTCAACATTTCCTTTATTTCGGTTTCGGGAAATTTTAATCGAATCCGAGTTAACGCGCCTAGATTAAAACGTCACATGCAATAGAGGACACGGAGCAGTCGCAAAAAAAAAAACACGTGTGCGTGAGTTGTATAAACCATTCATTCACTCCGGGAAAACCGGTCGGTCGAAAATTTTATCGCTCGCTTCTAAGGGTAGAAGTACACTATAACACCTATGTATGACTTTTCACTGGCATGTTCTAGTTATATTCCCTTATTATGTCAATATTGAATGCATGGAGTAAGTTCTTAAATTATTCTATTTTTTATTTTGTTTATTACTTGATAAATTGAATGGCGTTGAAAATAATGACCGAAAATATATTACGTATTCCCAAATTCATTTTCTGTAATTTCATAAATCAAAAAATAATCCAAATAATCTATAGTAATGTTAGTATTGTTCAACGAATTGTGTACAGGCCTCACTTGTCAAAATGTATTCACCATTTCTTAAATAATAATTAACTCGTGTCGACTAATAAGTCAACACGAGTTAATTCCAGTATTAAGTTGAACTGTAAGTTATTTTGATCGGGCCAGAAAATTTTTAATCTTTATATATTTCACCATCGAATTACTTACAAAATCCGTATCTATTTGTAGTGATGAAAACCCTACAGTTTACATGTCTTAATTATTAGGGTCAAGTAAAATCAAGGAAAATCTACACCAGAAATCAATACCGCCGACCACGAAAAAAACCGGCCAATAGCGAGTCGGACTCGCGGACGATGGGATCCGTACCATCGTCTATAAAACGGCAAAAAATCCTTGTCTGTTGTATGGTACCTTGTCCCCGCACAACGGACATGATTTTTTTATTTAGTTTTTTAGTTATAGCGGTAACAGAAATACATCATCTGTAAAATTTCAACTGTTTAACTATCACGGTTCAAGAGATACATCCTGGCGACCAGACGGACAGACAGACAGCGGAGTCTTAGTAATAAGGTCCGCTAAAAAGAAGCAGTCGTGAAGTGACAACTGAGAAAATGTATGGAAGTTGATACTATATTATAATTAATTTCAATATAAAAATATTACAATGTGCCATGCATAATAAATGCCAAGTATATTTCCAACCTTACACGTCACTGTGCCTTGCATGCAGTTCCGACATTGTCATCGATTCCGCGACAAAATTGATAACGCGTGGTAGCATTTCCCGGGTATTCCAGCCGCAAATCACGTTTATATGTTTCGTATAAAATTGTCTGTTCGTAAATTTCAATGTTGATTATCTATCGCCGTGTCTTTTGCCGAACTGCGTTCGTACCTGATTCTATACTTAACTAATCTAACATCAGAGCGCCGCCTTGTTATGTCTATCTTTTTTAGGATTCCGTAACTTAAAAGTTAAAAAAAGGAACCCTCATAAGATCACTCTCTTGTGTCTGTCCGTCTGTCGGTGTGTCACCACCGATTTTCTCAGGAACGGTTGGACCTAGCAAGTTGAAATTTATACCAGATACTGAGGTCTTCTTATTAGGTGTATAAAAGTCCTGTCTCGAAAGTCAAGTCAACAAATTGATTTTCAAAAACTACAATGAAATCATAGGTTTTGGGTTGAAAACCTATATGGCAGTTCTCGTTGACCTAGAATCACGAAATTTGACAAAAACTACAATGAAATCTACAAGCGAAACCATCAAAACAGGCCCAGTGGACATGGTATGTTTATCAAACCGCCCCCGTCCCTCTCCCCGCCATCCGTGCTGCGGAAGTATTGAGTGACGCGTCGCCAGATAAACAGCCTCGCCGCCGCCTCTGCTTTGTTCTCTTTGACACTTATGAAGGTCCCCCCAACCAGGCTCTCCCCTTTTCCTCCTTTTTGTATCGTATCGGGTACGACGTGTAACCGCATTATTACGCCGTGTTTCTCATTAAAAGCCGTGGAATACTTTCGTAATACTTGCTTCGGTTATGCGTTGTATTTTCTCCTTCGACATTTGCTTAAAGCAGTTTAGAAATAGGCTAATGGTTTATTTGGGAGTTTGCGATGGCTATTACGAATTCTCATATTTGCCGCTTTTGCCGAGTTATTTTAATTTCGTTATTTTCGAGTCGGTTTGTGAAAATAATTGAATTCATTCAGATTCAATAAGTCTGATTTTATAGTTAGGTAAGTTTTCATTATATTTTATTATCGACATACGTTAAATAATTTTATAAAGTTAGTAATATTTTTCTAATCCTCTTTTTGGTTTTTAATCTAATTTCATTAAAAATAAATTTAGGATTATTATTTTATATAATATATCTCGGGATGTTTTCTTAATATTTTATTTTGGATTTTGGATAGGAAGAGATTCCTAGTTAAAAAAAGGAGACAAATTCCTAAATTTATATTATTGCTTTGATATTCTTGTTCTTTTTTATTGTTTTATTAATCACTTCTAATACGTGTAGTTTGTACCGTGACCGTATTATCACGGTAAATAATATGTACCGTGATATATTATTTACCGTGATAATATTTGTCCAAGCATAATTGCACAACTCATGTGTTGAAGATTTTATCCTTTAGTTAAAAAAGGCCAAACGAAAGACACGCCTCTTGCAATTTACGTTCATTAAAATAGATAAAATAAACCAGAGTAAACGTTTTAAACGGTTTAATATTTACGCATTTACGCTTCACTCGTACTGTATTTGTATAATTCAAATGTCATACATCAGTGCCGGTAGTTTGCCCGTCTAGACGCTGATTTTTGGCAAAGTCAAGGCTACGTATATGGGGGTACAGTCGCGTTAATAATAGCTTCCGTCGTACAACTGTTAGTTATGATGTCATTATAGTTGTTTTTTTTTTGAGAGCGATACGAAAGGAGCAAACAAATAAGATGAAGAATCATACAGCAATGCGTAGACGATTCAACGGTACGGGAAAAATAAATTCTGCTTTTAACTTATCTCGTGTATGTGTTGGGAAAATAAAGTTTATTTTATTGTGTCACATAAGACTTAGATGAAGTAAGGTCTTGGCCAAATTACGATACATGATCCCAAAGATTCTATTTTAAATTTATTAGTTGACGTGATGTTTGTATTTCAACTGTAATATTTAACCTGTAAACGTTTACAGGAACATAATGGTTAAGATGTATGTTTATGTATATAACTTTTACGTGTATTTTAACATAATAATTGTGGATATCGGTATCTGATTAGTACGGATAATTAGTAGTCACGAATATACTTAAATGTATGTATTTTGATACTATGAGTTTCTATGCATCGGCTGTTTCAATTTTGCAAGACAAAGTTCATCTGAACATTTTTTTAATGTGAAAAGTTGCCAAATGAGCAGACGGTTCACCTGATGTTAAGTGAATACTGCTGCCCATAGACATCTTCTACACCCGAGGGTTTGCAGATGCGTTAACAACCTTTTTGGGAATTGGGCTCCGGCTATCCACTCATCAGACGAAACGCGAAAATATTTGTCACACTTTACGCCGGTCTTCTGTGAGGTCGTGGTACTTACCCGGACGATCCCGCCCATTCATGAAACAGCCGAGGCTGCTGCGCGGCTCTACCACCGTTATCATTAATATTAACATTACGTACATTGTTTGTATCTTAAATAATTAGGCCGATTTAATAAGTATTCACTATTTGTCAGAAACTTTATTAAAGCATGAGAGGTGAACGGAGTAAAACTCTAAAGCCATTTCAAGTATCAAAATCGAAGTACTACACGTAATGTATACGTACACGATATTTACGTAATGTATATTCTAATGATTGTACGTGTATGTACAATATCCATATTTTTTTATTATCTTTATTTTTAAGGGGTTTTTATCTATAGCGATACGCCAACCCAATCGTTACTTATTGGTGATATTGGCGTTATAGTTTATTGATTTGGTCCACAGAAAACAGATAGGTAATCGAAATTTTAAGGTTGGCTTTGTGACCAGTATCGTAGCTTCTCCGATGTCAGATGAGGCTCGGATACTGGCCAGGATTGCCGATATTGACTTAAGAGAAAACTTTGTTTTTGTTTAAAAAGTTCTGTTGATTAATTTTAATAGATTTCGTAAACCTTACGGTGCGATGTTATCGCTCAGCGATACAAACAAATATTACAGAAAACAGCGCCATCTAGCGGAAACGATAGAACATCGTGTAACATATTTTGTACACTAAAATAATTATTGTCTTTAGTGCTTTCTTATTGGATTGTACCGTTTACGAAAGCAATTGCTCACAAAACAGATACACTTTGGGCACTGGTACGCGGCCAAATAACAAATCAAAATTGACATAGCAATAACTGTAATGCACTCTGCTAGGGCGCCCCGCGTCCATTCGTCGTAATATTTCTTGTTTAAAGGTCCAACTATGTTAAAGGATTTAACCGCCAATTTACATTCCTCCGATTGAATTCCTTTGCGAAATGTCTTTATCAGATTACTAACCATGGTATTATGATGTTGATATAATAAATTATACTCGGGTGTAAGAAACTCAGTGTAATTCCAAGTTTAGTGTCAAATCAATTGTTCATTGCTACTTGGTCGATGCAGAAATTACAAGCCATTATCGATGGTTAGATTTTAACGGAGAATATGTCCGCTGTTTCTTCTTGTGAGTTTTTATTGCATAAGTTATGACACGTTTAGACCGGTACGGATAGAAATGAAAGAAAAGAGAAATACTTGCAAACTTATGCACTTTTATTGTTAATGTGACGTTTTGTGTACAGGGTATCTAATGAATTAATTTTGCTAACATTTTGTGTGATAGAAATCGAATATGTCATATTTTAATCATACTGTTCTTAAATTTTATGTCTTTTTTATATTAATTGTTATTTAACAAATTCTTTTCATCCAAAACGATCTTAACAGATTTTTTTATTTATACACCCATATCAAACCAAAACTCAAGTCTTAACATTGACTGCAGCCCGAATTAACTGGATCATATTAGAACGTCAAATATGTCAATCAGTTATGTAATTATGAGGCCTGTAATTTAAAAGAAACATCAAACGCAATGAAAATAGTAATAATAAAATGTAAGCTTAAAATTCGAAAAAATACGTTGAGATCTTCGTTGGTGTGGCAATTAGCCGTTAATTTTAGTGGTTAAAATGTTTGGGCGCGAATCTAGAAGACGTGGGTTCAATCCCGCAGCGGCATAATATTATTCGTTCATTTTTTAATTAAAGATATTTTAAATGGTAGTAAGAAAATAGTGCATGTTAAGTTTAAAAAGAAAAGGTCTACGGTGTAATTATAAGCCGTTTTACGCCGCGGCCATTATAAAAACACCTTGTGGGCTTTAAAATAGTTGCTTCTCTAATGTTTAGCCGCATTGTTTCTCCCCGTTTGTGTTACATAGCGTGCTCCAGTTTCCTGCAAAGAAACATTCTTTATGAAAGCGGTAGAGGAATAATAAGCTAATTGCTTTCCTGTAATGCAGAGCTCTAAACGCTGTGTAAGTTATGCGTGGATAAAGCATTTGTTCTTAGGATCTATTGTTCTAAGTCATCTTTTGTATGGAGTTCTTTATTTATTTGCAAAAGTGCTTGCAAAATAAAAACGCAAACACAACGCGGTACATATCTGAAATTTTCTGTTTCGGATGCATGAAATTGGATTTCAAAGGAATGAAGGAGAAGGAATGAAATTCTCTTTAATGAATATTTTTAATATATTTTTTTATGCGAGATGGAGGCAAACAGCTGGCGGCTCCCTCGATGTTAAGTTATAATATCCACCGCCCATGGACATTTGCAACATCCGTGAGGTCTCAGATGCGTTGCCACCTTTCAATAAAGTAGGCCCCGGTTACCTCACTTAACTGACGAAACGCACAAGTGTAACACTGCCACATCACGCTGCATTTCTGTCTGTAAAACTGTTGCATGGTTCTACCACAGTTTATATCTATTTAGGGTTCTTTACCCAAATGGTAAAACAGGACCCTATTAGTAAGACTCCGCTGTCTGTGTCTGTCTGTCCGTCTATCACCAGGCTGCATCTCGTGAACCGTGATAGTAAGATAGTTGAAATTTTCACATTTTGCCGCTATAAGAAGCAAAACTAAAAAAAAAAACAGACTAAAAAATATTTAAGAGAGGCTCCCATTTAACAGACATGATTTCTTTGCCGTTTTATAGATGATAATGGTACGAAACCTTTCGTGCGCAAGTCCGACTCGCATTTGACAGGTCGTTTATAGATAATGGAATTGGCCGTTTTTTTAACTACCCAATTACGTGGTTTTAAATAGTTACTTTTGTATTTCCTTTAATTGGTCCCCAAGATTGGCGAATGTTGTTTTCCTCCAATCGCCGTTCATAAAATTGTTTATCTTGAAAACAAACGCCAGAAGACGTCTATTACGCGCCGTCATAAATTTTTTTACGCGAAGCGTGTATCCGGCTAAATTGACTGGCGTTGCGAAAGACTAGAGTAAGGTCTCATTCAATTTACTGTAATACGTAATCAGAGATTTAAAGTAAACCCGACCGCTTTATCCCTGCGAGATGAGTAAGCTCGCTGCGACGGCATCACGACGGGCTCATATAAATGGATTTTTGTGACGCCATCACCAAGTGCCTAAACAAATCGTTCAAGTAAATTTATTCATTTGCTAAGTATCAGCTTCAGAACTTGATGATGAACGTTGAACTATGGCTACGATTAAATTACTAAAGTTATGGCCAGAAATTGCTCTAGTGGGTTAATTTATCAATGTGAAAATAATTACAAATGTTTAAAACTTGAAACAATTTAGATAGAATATGACAAATTATTTGCTACACTACAGAATGGTTTTATAACATGTATTACTTATTATATATTATTAATTTTATGTGATATAAAAAAATTAAATTTATTAATT